ACATATGACGAGGTATTACAACTTGAGGGTGAAACCTCGTTCCTTCCAACCAGGAGACTTGGTCCTCAAGTGTGATCCTCGCCAGAAAAGATTCACGCAAAGGGAAGCTGGGACCCAATTGGGAAGAACCTTACCTTATAACAGAAGTGGTGAAGCCAGACACCTACAGGATCCAAAATGCTGAGGGAAAGGTGTTACTCCATCCATGGAATGCGGAGCACTTGAAAAGGTATTACCAATGACACCTTGAGAGTATTAAAGTAGTAGAAGTTGGGGACTTGTTTTTATTTTCTTCCTTTTCTGGGGTTCAATGTACTTTTTTGGGGGATTATTACCCAACATTGCTTTATATAAGCAATAGATCAATAAAATTTTCTACGTTTTACTCCAAAAAAGATCTTTCGCATTTCATTTCAAAGGAGTATCAGTACAAAAAAATAAGGTTATAATCTGCCTCTTAAGGCTACAAACTGTCTTTCTTAAAAAAAAATCAAAAAAATCAACAGTCCCTAACACTCTAACTACTCTCATGGTTTTCCTCCACATCCTCCTCGTCATCCTCATCATTGTCAGAGCTCCCATCATTGTCATCAGGCGCCCCAGTAGGCACGAAGCCTTAAAAGTCAATATCGGGGAAAGTAGTAGAAATCTTCCCTCGGAGCTCCTCGAAACCGTAAATGAAAGAATCCGCGAGGCCATTCTCCAGGTCCACCTTAGCTAGAGAAGCTTTCTCCTGAGCAGCCTTCACCTCTCTCTCTGCGGCAGCCTCTTTGAGCATGACCCTCATATGGGTCTCTACAAGCTCAGCCCCCTGAGCGCGTCCCTTTCGTAGGTTGCCAAGAGCTTAGTTGGCCTATCACAGGCCTCAACAAGCTCGTCCTCTCTGAGCATGTTCCTCTCGTGGGTTGCCAAAAGCTCAGACTCAAGCCTGGTTACCCTCTCATGAGCCGCTACAAGCTCAAACTGAGAAATCCTACTAGCAGCTTCGAGCTCGACAATCCTCTCCTGGACAGTCAGAAGCTCCTTTTGCACAACGTCATGATCCAACTTCAGCTTGCTGTAAGCATAGGCATTTGAAAGCAAACAGATAGATGAAGTCGAAACCTGAAAAAGATAAAAGATTGAGAAAGGTCAAAGGCATAAGAAAGGACTGGAGAAAGGAAAATAGTAGACCCTTACTTAAGTCAGGCCTTCCAAATATGTGCTGACAACCCTCTCGGTACCCAAAGTACAAAGCTGAGAAACTTTGGGTCCAAACATAAACCTCCCAAGCCTTTCCCTGACGACTGGCGGTCTCCCCATCATGGGACCAGACCAAATCAACACCCCAATAGAAGTTCCCGCACGAGGAAAGAACGAAGGAGGGGCAGAAGGTGTGCCCGACAAAGAAGACTCTGGAGTAACAACCGGAAGAGTCGCCAGTTGCGGAGGCACTGTCGTAGGAGTCACTTGGGGGGCATCACCCGTCCTCGCCACCTTGGAAGAAGGAGGGCTCCTACTAGAATAGCGGAACATTACCACTCTTTTACTTGTTGAAAAAGCAGTAAAGTGTCATGCAAATAAAGAATACCAAGTGAAGGAAAAAATTAAAGGAAGAAGTCAACTCACCCTTCCTCTTTGAATAGGATCCACCAGACTTTGGGGAGGGAGCAACAACTCTAGCATCCTTAGGCAGAAGAGCTCCCAAGTCTTTGTTAGGGCAAGCCTTCACGGCCTGCAACTTCCATTCTTGATCTTTAGAGAGCACAAACGTGTCTGTAGAGGGATGATGAGCACACATACATGCATAAAAAAAAAGGAGCGAATGTGCGGTATACCGAATTTTCTAGTAGCACCCCACTGTATTGGTACTAAGGCCCTGTCAGCTTCTACAGCCCATTCTCCGCCGACAAAGAAGAAGCGAGATTTTCAGCTGTGGTAATTGGAGTGTAATCCCGTGAGCATTGTGCCGCTTCTTGTGGTAAAATAGTACCACCCCGTATTTGGTGCAGGAGTCTCACTCAAGTTATAAGTTACATGGAACTCTAGAGGAGAAGCATCTTCATGATGCACCTTCCTCCATAAAACAAGAAAGTCCAACAAGACTCTCCAACCATTAGACGCTAAACGCCCCAGAGTCAAGGAAAAGTAATGAAGAATGTGACAAATGAGAGGAGACATGGGGAATCTAAGTCTAGCCTTAAGCATCTCCTCATAAACGACAATATCACCAGAGGAATAGTCATAAGCGAGCTCACCCATCTTAGCCCGGCGACACAGCACGGTTGGAGGAATACAATAAGTGAAGACGAGCCTCAAAATATCTTTATCCGAATTGAACAAACTAGAAAGGGTATTTATCTTGGACCCATCATCGTCAAGTACCACTTTGCCTTTGCGTTTCTTACTACGGGGGGTGCAAGGAATGACCTGAGCCACCACCTAAGAGATCCTAAGGAATATGGGTTTGAGAAGTTCCACTCGGAGGAGTCGTATCTGGAGAGGTGCCTGACCCCCTCTACTCGCCTAAACGGGGTAGCCCAGCTCGTGGAGAGGTGCCAGACCCCTTATGCTCATCCAAACAAAGCAGACCAGCACCTGGAGAGGTACCTGACACCCTATGCTTGTCCAAACGAGGCAACCCAGCACCTGGAGAGGTGCCTAACCACCTTTGCTCGCCCAAACGGAGCGGCCCAGCACCTGGGGAGGTGTCTGACCCCCTCTGTCCGCCCAAACGAGGCAGCCCAGTGTTGCCTGGCCCTCCAAAGTTGCACAAATTAGCATTTTTGGCGCCTCGATCAGCGCCAATAATGCCCAGATCAGCGCCTAAAGTGGCACTTAGATTAGCTCCCACAGTATTTTCGGTGCCCGGGCAGCCCATGTTGGCGCCCAGGTTGTTGCCCAGCTTGCCTTCTAGCTTGGGCAGCCCCCTTTTTGGCCTGCATGCCCCTCATGCTGCTACCTAGCCCACTTGACTGCACGCCCTAGTTGTCCAAGACAGCACTTTCAGCACCCAGATGGTCCTGCCCAGTACCTTTGGCGCCCAGGCAGCCCTCTGCACTCCTCCTTAAGTGAGATAGCTCCTCAAAATTGCCCAGACCAACACCTAAAGTGGTGCTCAATTCAGCGCCTATGGTGGGTCAAGCCTAAATAGCCTAATTTATGTAGAAAGCCCAATCTCAATGAAAGAGCTCAACTTTATAGAGATCCATCAAGCCTAATATGGTCCAAGTCCAGTCAAACTCATCAGCTTGGCTATGTCATCAAAAGAAAGAGAGTGGGAGCCTTACCTACATCGCCGAGGAAACAGTCCACCCTCACCTCATCCTTGACCGCATCTCATGGAGAGTAACTCAACCACCTTACCCCGTTGAGAAAAAGTTGTGACCTCCACCTAAATAGTTGTCTAGCTGCTGTAAAGTAGCCCCAACTTATTAGGGGGCCACTATAAATTGTATGTCCCACTAACACTTGGAGGGTATCACACTTTTACTTGAGCATGACTCGCTCTTCTCTCTTAAAGCTTGTACTCTCTGCTCCCTACACCTTTGAGCGAATAAAGTACCCGGCGACCAAGGTCATTTAAAAGTGGACGTATGCCACATTGATCAAACCACTATAAATATTGTCTCTCCCAACTCTCTTTACTTTCAATTACTGCATTTATTTTCAATCATTTGATAGGTGGTGTGCAAATCTATTTTGTGCATCATCAACTATAAATAAAGCCTCTGGGTATTAGGTAAGGGCGTTTGATCCTAGCCTATTGACTCCATACTCTTCTTCAACTTGCGATCTGACTTAAAAATCGAAGTCTTTTTGGCCATCTCTGGCCATCGGTTCACCTAACTTTCACTTGTCTTGCAAGTCATTTAAGGCTTCCTTACCGTCATTTCTGTTTGTTCGAGGTGGTGACTCCTTGTGTAAACTTCTCCCTACAATATATTGTGTTATACGTGTTAGTATATAGTGAAACCTAAGAGGTTCAAGAGATTGGAAGTGTTTAGGTTGATGTGTCAAGATGATTTTGGTACTCTCAAGGCACTCTTCTTTGGTTGATGGCTTTATAATTGTATGAATAATTTCAATGGCATAACAATACTGAGAGATGAATATAATAGTCATTCTCGTCATGTGTGGGTCGACAATGATGTTGGCATTTAAATTTGGATCCGAACAAGGATGCCCATGGACAGTTACGAACTGAATGAAAGTGGTTAGAGTTATACTTGAATTTCAGAAGTGAAAAATTTCAATATGTCAGGTTCCCACTTTCATAGGATATCTACCCTGCTTTGGAGTTATCTTTTGCCAACTAAACTTATGTCAGTGACATCTCTTTCACATTAAAAAGAATGAAGAAATGGAAAAATTGTCTCTGTCGTTGTCATTGAAAACCAAATAGATTTTAGAATACTGAATAATCGGTGAGACTTCATCTAATGCGATTGTTTGTTCATGATTGTTCATCAACCTCAAGAAGGGTATCGGAGCACGTGGTGCTTAATTACTTTCGGTGGAAGTAAGCTTCAATCCTGACGTCACTTCAACATGTTATCTGTTATATTCTTCCCTATGCAAAACATACATTACATATTAAAGAATGTTGTTGTGTTTCCCTATGAAAAAAATAATGGTTCATAATCATACAACATTATGCGCTATGTGCATTAAATTTATCCACATCACAATTGGAATGAATTCTTCAACGAAATTAACATGAGATTCTCAATTTCGGTGAAAACAAGGCTTCCCATTTTTCACTACAGTACTCACTGTAACTGAATTACAAAACCCGCTCTCCCTCTCCCCACCCCATGCCAAAACAAAAATAAAAAAGGAAAAGAAAAACCCTCTCCCAAACATCTTTTTGGTTTCGATTTCTAAATTGTACCCACACTGTCAACACAAACTAGCCAACTCCAATTTCACTTTAATTAATATTATTTATTAATCCATGAAATTAAAGCTCCATTTTGCAATCCATGAAATCAAAAACAAATGTGTAACCAAAGTCTTACTCAACCATTCATTGAGAGAGAAAAATCATCAGACAATCCTCTTGAAGAGCGCATGTCCCCTTCACTAGTGTATGAAGAATAGAATTCTTCGTCACCATCTCTCTCTCTCACCTCTTCAATCCTCTCCACAGCCTCTTTTATATCCAACCGTTTCTCCATCTCACTTTCACAACAACTTAGCCCTATCTTCAATAGCTTCACCATCTCTCCTTCACTGTTCTTCACTCCTCCCATCTCTTTATCAAACACCTCGCTCGTCGTTTCTCCCTGGAAAATGGAGATTACCCAACTCCCTAAATCTGTGTCATCTCCTTTTCCAGCTGGTCGGAAATAATTTGAAGGAAATTTACCAGTTAGAATTTCCAATATCAAAATCCCGAGGCTCCAAACATCTGTTTTCTTCGTTATCCGGCCATGTTGCTTGTACTCTGGTGACTTATATGCAATCATAAGGTCTTGGGCATGTTCGTGGTTCACGACAGGGATTAAGCCGTAATCGGTGAGGATGGGGTTGAAGGATTCGTCAAGGAGAACATTTGAGGCTTTGAGGTGTCCATGGGGTACAATTAGGCTTGGGAGCTCATTGTAGAGGTACGAAAGGCCTCTTGCGACTCCTTTGATAATCTTCAAACGAGTTGGCCAATCAAGGCTTGGTTGGCCACTGGAATGGTTGCCTGAAAGAATTGATTTGAGAATGGCTAAGTCTTTACACTTAAAGATAATCAAAGTTGCATATTCATGAAATTAAAAAATAAAATCCATTTTGTTGAAAAAAATTATAGATTCGACACACCATTGTAACTTCATGTCAAAAAGAAAAAGCAGTGCTTATGTTGTGTCACTATACGACACGCATGTAAATAATATACCAAAATATAGTGAGGGCTTCAAGTACATTCATTTGGTGTCACAGTGGTCCTTATTTTTTTGCTATTGCTTCTCTTTTGCCACTCGAGTTTCCAAGTACGTCACTTTGATCCAATTGGAAGGTTTATACTGGATCACTAGTAGATCATTTTTTGAAAACTTGATTGATGAAAGTTGAAAAAAAATGCAATTTAAGGGATCAAACAGACAAATTACAAAGTTGCATGACGAAAATGTCGTCCATAGTGTGGACGTGAAACATAGCTGCGAAGCATTGACCCAACAATGTGAAAAGCTGCAACGAATTGACAAGAATTGAATATTTAAAATAATATTATTTTATTTCATCCCAAAAAAAATGTGACGAGGAAATGCATGCAAATTAGCGTGAGCTGGAAACAACTAACTCGGAGGAAAAGAATAATGCTAGACATACCTAAAAAGTGGAACAAATGAATATCATTTATATGTACTGTTTAAAATATAAATTTATTCACTATATTAGTGTCTTATCATTTGGCCTTTTTTTGTCTATTTTTTGGTCAATCTCTTTTTATACCGGAAGGGAAACATTGACAGTGGTATACAATGCTCATGTACATAGCTTCAACTAAACTAAATGCATACATAGAACACTAATAAGAAAGCACACGTACCATGGAGATGAACAGCCACGCTGACATTGTCAACATAGTCAGAAACCAAGAGCTTCTCTTCTTTCCTATAGTAGTAAGCCACAAGAGGAAGCAAGTTGGGGTGACTCAACCTACCTAACCTTCTCATATGTTCTTGAAACTCTTCTTTCCCCACATTATTCATTTTTCTATGCCTCTTCACAACCATCACTGACCCCATCATCACAGCAGCCTTGTAAGTAGAGCCAAACACCCCACTTCCCAATATCTCAGCTGAGGCTCTAAGCAAGTCTGCCAACTCAAATTTGTCTCTCTCATCCCTCAGAAATGACAATTTCCCACCCTGCTCGGACCTTTTACCATCGGGCAAGCCGCCTTGCTCCATTTTGTCCAAATCAGCGGAAGCTGCTTTCTTGTGGGCTTGGGATGGCAATGAAGTCTCTTCCGGTTGAGGTCTTTGGCCCTGTCGACGGAGGATGATGAAAACTGCTACAATTGCCGCTAGCGCCACCACCACAACTACCACGACGACGAGGATTGTCCCAACAGAGAGTTTCCGGGAAGCAGCACATGATTCCAGAGGATGCCCACACAGATCTTTGTTTCCTGCATCGATATGCTTTGAATATTACAATCTTGCGAATTTATGTCTTTGTGCCATGTATCCATTGCTAAGTACACTTATAATTGAAAATTTATATTTTGGCCCTTTTAACTGTGGTTTTTGTCTCCCATTAATTCTTAAATTTTCATATTATTCACATTGGACTTTCAACACTGATGAGCCCAAAATTAATTGGGCCAAAGAGGAGCCCAATCTAAACTAAGTCAACCCATAGGAGGAGGACTAAATCACCAAGAAGGGACCAGCGTCCAAATGAATCAAGAGGCTAGCACCCAGGACAAGGGAGCGCCACCCAAAGCCTTAAGGGCATCGCCCTTGAGCTGGCTCCTTAGCTCTTATTCGTCCTCCACTTTCTCCTCTGCAATGCATCATTGGAATTACTTCGACTCAAGTCTAGTCCACTCCAACTTAAAGCCTAGGCTCAAGATGAAGTTCAATCCAACCCAAGATCATCCTTCAACGGAATAAAAACACGAGGGAGAGATTATCGAGATACGGAGATCCAATCCTACCAAAATTGTATTTACCAAAATGGTAGAAACCCTTTTTCTCTCGTCACCTCCTCACCGCTTTGATGAACTTATATAATATAAGTCCTCTGCACATAGAGGGCATGCCTTCATGACCTTAAGACTTCTATAAGATCCCTACACATATTGCTTCTCTCTTCTCACCATTGTAATACTCTTGAAGCGTACTCTCCCAGAGATTCTATTCATCAATAAAATATCTCAGGCCATTGTTACCTTTCTCGAGAGTGGAATAGGTCACCCGAACCGAACCACTATAAATCTGCGTGTTTTTGCTCTTATTTACTGTTTTACTATTGATTGCCTATTTATTGCTTATTAACTGCATTTTTACACATTCTTGACTGTTAATTTTGCTCAAAGTCAATTTGTGCATTATCCAACTCTAGTAGTTGAAGGAGTAATGGGAGATATTCTAAAGTTTAATCAACAAAGTGAGACGTGTTAAAAAAAATTGAAATATAAGACTGAGACCAAAGGGTCAAAGTGTAATTTTTTTCCTAATATACGAGTTTATTTTTCGTTGTCTCTTGCAGTCATTGGACAATATCGAAGATTTTGAGAATTTTTGTGTGGTTACCATTAAGTAATTTTTTTCTAGCCAAATTTGAATAAACACAATTAAAAATTATGGTATCACCCTAATATGATAGAAATAGTTGTTCTTCAAGGGAAACAACTTAACAGTTTATCTTCATCATTTGTAGAGAACATAATTAGAGCTAAGCTATTCAAATTATTCTAAATTATCTATGGTTAAATGATTATTTTATGTGGGTGGTTTGTAGAAAAATCATAAGCCTGCCAAGAGGATTGTGAAGAATGTAACCATGGCGAAAACTCAAAGCATACCTGAAAATGAGCTCACATTCAACTTACTGAGGCTTCCAAGAATTGGACCCTCTAAATCATTGTTAGACATATTCACCATTTTCAGCCTGTCCTGTCGAAATTCCGGTATCTCGCCTCTGAATTCATTATCTTCAAGCATCAACTCTGTTAGCTTTGGCAACATACCTAAAGATTCTGGAATTTGACCCGTAAATCGGTTTCGTTCCAAATGTAGTTTCTTCAATGACACCATCCCGTCAAAAGCATTCCCTGGGATTTCCCCCGAAAAATTGTTATCCGATAAGTATATAGATTTAAGTGCACCAAGTTTCTTTAAATTTGGCAAGGAACCATCAAAATTGTTCTTCATGAAGCTTATAGTTCTGAGAGTAGACAATTCTTTGAGGGTTTCCACATCAATGACACCCTTTAGTCCCATATTTTCGAGTTTTAGGCCCCAAACTTTCCCGTTGTCGCAAAGAACGCCCTTCCAGTTTTCTTTATCACCATTGCAGGGTGATGTTGAGGGACTCCAATCAGACAATGCATCGGCTTTTACGAGGGAATCCTTGAACTGGACAAGGATTTCAGAATCTGATAAACTTGAAGAGGTGACTGTGTATAGTATGATGATCATATGGAGAACTAGAGACCGGGAGAGACTACTATGGGCCATGACATAGGGTGGTGGCTTGCGCACTTATGGGTGCACCACCCTTTGAAGGGGCTCCTACAAACAATAATGGGATTGTGGGGGCAAAGAAGGCTTGGGAAGGGATTGAAATCTTGTGAGCATGNCCACCCTTTGAAGGGGCTCCTACAAACAATAATGGGATTGTGGGGGCAAAGAAGGCTTGGGAAGGGATTGAAATCTTGTGAGCATGGATGGAAGGAGAGAGAGGAGGGGGAGAGAGAGAGAGGGAGAAACCAAGAATAGTTTGCATGCTGGTGAAAAACAAGACATGAGAGTTGTGCCTTGTGGGAGAGAGAGAGGTGCCAAGAATAGCGTGTGCTGAGAGGAAAACAAGTTTTTTGGTAAAGAATAACTAATTTTGGGATTTAATTTGAGGACCAAAATAATTACAGCTATTGAATTAAATTTGAGCTCGTTTAAATATTGGAACTCACAAAGTAATCCAGTTGCTGCAATGAATTAAGCCCCTATAATATTGCTTGAAAAACAAATCAGTAAAGCTGTATAAGAATATTTAATGCAATAGTTATACCATATCATCATCAATAATTGCATTAACAATTAACTATGAACAAACATATAAGAAATGTACCCCGTTAATCTTATTATAATTATTTGATGTGAAATTACTAGTGGTTATTGGATTAAGTAGTATTATTCCCTAGTTCAATGTGATTATTTACCTTAATTGGTCATATCATATGTGAGTGATAATATACTATATGCTAATATATATTTTCATGTATGTGTGAGAGAGAAAGAGAGAGATGCCAAGAATAGTCCTTCAAGTGAGGTTGGAGGTGGAAAACAAATCAGGAAAGCTGTGGTCAAACTCTCTCTCTCTCCCCCCTGGCCTCTGCATTTGATATGTGGTTGTTGCTTGAGAAATATGCGGCAGACCTTGAATAAGTTTAGAAATTTCAAGTTCCAACAGTCACTTTGATTTGTAGTTTCCTACCTTCATTGCTCAACTTGTTTTACATTGCTCAACCACTGAAACCCACATCATGGAGCAATTGGCAGAAATGTCTTTCCCTTTTCTTTTTCTTTTTCTTTTTTTTTTTTATAAAATCGGGGTAATTAGTAGACTCAACTACATAATATTCTCTTTTTCCACTTACTAGAAATGCATTACGTGCATTGCACATGCAAAATTTTAAAAAAAAATTAACAAATAAGTAAAAAGAAGATAAAGTATGTTCAAGAACAACATCATCAATAAATACCCAATTCATATTAATGTAATGAATAAGCACGATAAAATACCCGATCAAAAATAGCACAAGCAAAAAGGCACCGAAAAACATAAAGTTGTACCCTTCAATAAACCAAAAAAAATAATGAAATATCAATAAAAGTCTGCATATTCCAAAAGAGGAAAAAATAAAATTCATGGGGTGATTGGATGTAAGACAACACATAAATATCCAAAAATGGCATGATCACTAGTATAGACAAAACCATATTGAACAAACTTACATCAAGTGTTGTGTCAAAGATTTACGGAAAAAAACATTGAAGGTATTGAATAACAAAATCATGTCACAAGTTAAATTACATATTGGTCAACTGCATTAGTATTTAGAAAAAGAAAATTTGGGCAAAATTCATTTCTTATATGAGAACAAAAGAGGGAGAAAAAAAGAAGGTAATTTTGAGAGCACCAACACTATTGACATATTATTTATTGTTGTTGCTCTAAAATCTTTTGAGATCGACAAACATGTTTCAATCAACAGATATTTTTTAGGCGATTGTTTGAAATAAATTCAAATGTCTTGTTTTAGCACTTATTTGGATGAAATCAATGGAGACTTTCACTAGCAAAGGCAAAATTAAGACAAAGAACTAATAAAAGGAAAATCTTTTATTAATCCAATCGAAGGGACTTCGGTTACAAGAGACTGAAATAAAACAATCTTGCTAACAGCACTAACTGCTCCTTAACTAGCCTAAAACTACTCCTAATGGTGCCCTAATAATGGGCCTTTTGAGAGTTTGAATGTTTTCATGTTCTCTCCATTGAATGCCCTTTTTATAACCATCTCATTCGACGGTTTTCTCCCCATCAACTATTATCTAATGGTACTCCCATTTGATTACCTCTTTTCTTTTCAAATGTGGCTATGATTGATCATTTCTCATCCTTTTTTAATTTCTGCCACATGGCATCTCTTCAATAGATCTGAAAATTTTAGCTGTCAAAACGCTGAATATACTGGACTTTTATATTTTGGGCTCAAATAACTGCATATTGCATTTTTTTTTACCAATAGTGAAGGTAAACCTTAAAAAAACATAATAACCTTATTTGATTCTATAATGCTACGACCATTATCTAGTAACTATCAACCAAATTGTGTCTTTGTCATTTCTAATATTCACGGCATCACATCACCAACTCTCTGGGCTCAGAAAATAAGGGGGAGATAATCATAGAAATAAGAATCAAAACATTGGTAAATAGTAAAAAAGATCAATAAGAAAAACCTTACATAGGCTTTTCTTGGGAACTAATGACTTAACAAAACACAGTAAAAGTATGACCAATGTCAATGCTCAAGAAATGTGGTGCACCAGAGTTAAGAACACTCTCTCAAAGAGAACAAAATCAATAATATTGAATAAAAGATCTTCAAATTTTAAGGCTTACAAACTTATTTATAGTACTAAAGTCCTAATCCATGTAGGCCATGAAATTCTAATTCTAATAGAATATGGAAACTATTCCTAATAGACTAAAGGAATACGATTCCTAATAGAATAACAATACTAATCTAAACAAGAAACTTAATTAAAAAGGAAATTAACCCTAATTAAGGAAAAATAATAAATAAATAATAAAAATAGAATAATTTTTAATTCGTGTCCTACATTAGACCCTTCCTCTTAAAAAAACCTCGTTCTCGAGTTTCCATGACTTGAAACAACTTAATATGCCTTTTTTTATCTACACCCGCTTTGTACTTCAGATTAATCCNTCTTCCTCTTAAAAAAAAACTCGTTCTCGAGTTTCCATGACTTGAAACAACTCAATATGCCTTTTTTTATCTACATCCGCTTTGTACTTCAGATTAATCCTTCCAAGCACACCTTTACATGAATCTTTAAGGCNCCTTCCTCTTAAAAAAACCTCGTTCTCGAGTTTCCATGACTTGAAACAACTTAATATGCCTTTTTTTATCTACACCCGCTTTGTACTTCAGATTAATCCTTCCAAGCACACCTTTACATGAATCTTTAAGGCCCTGGAGAACTAATAGAATAATCTTCCATTCAACATCATTAAGAAGCCATAACATGGCTTTAAGAATTTCTTGATATACAAATTTCAAAGTCAACCTGGTGTCTACTTCACCTTGATTAATTTTAGGGCCATCAATATCAAACTTTGTTGAATAACCAGATTTAATTCATTGACAAATCCAAGATGCACACTTATCAACTTCCTTGAATTGTCACAATACTTAATAAAATCAATGTGGAGCTGTCATATTCTAATAAATCATCACAATTAGACTCAATAATAATGACTATAGGTGTTGCATCATCACTTGTGGCACAACCATAAATTTTTTATGTGTTTTTTTCCTTAACACTCCCTTCATGATATTCGTCAACAGAAATCCCCTATATCATCATAAATCCACTCAGTCATCTTCCTCAATATTTTGCTCTTGATAACAATCAATCTTTTTTTGAGTTGGACTTGCATGGTTCTATAATATATGAATACTTGAATATACTATATCTTCCTTATCTTTTTGAGCAACCCAAGCTGTTGAAGAATTCGTAGTCACAATACTTTGATGCGAGATTTGATTCATAGAATAATCATTATATTGTGGAAAATATTGCAACCCAATATTACCCTGAGTTGACTCATCTCTTCGCTTCACTGATTGATGTACACCATAGTCCTCATATCCTGGCCTTCATACACATCATAATATGAAGGTGCAAATATTTCTTTTAATAACCACTTCATCTTTTGTCAAGAACGAACTTTAGATTTTTGTTGGCTCGCACATAACAATTTCAGATGTTGCCACCAATTAAAAGTTCGACCCTTTAATTTATGTGCTACTAGCCTCACCTTTATTTCCTTGGGAATTTCATAATAATCATAGAACCGTTCTACTTTAAAAATCCAATCAAGGAAATCCTCGATATGTAGATTTCCATTGAATTGGGGAATGTCTACTTTCATCCTATAATCATCAAAACCTTATTGTCACCTCCTCGGCTGATATATGCACCATGATCTTCATCTCGCTCGTTCTCGAACACCTCCTCACTATCAGATTGGTAACAAACTTATTTCAAAATGGGTTGATTAGCAAGTTGATCTTGGCCAAAGGCCTTTGCTTGGATCCTGCCAATTCCTAATAGAAATAGGAATACTATTCCTAATAGAATAGAAATATTAATCTAAAAAAGAAATTAGCCCTAAAATTATGGAATAATAATAATAAATAAATAAAATAATAAAAATAGAATAATTTTTAATTCTTGTCCTACATCAACTAACCTCTCTCCAGTCACCAAATTCAAAAGTAATCAACGGGTCAAAACAAAAGAAAGCTGGAAAACAAGTGAATTTTTCCACAACAAAAGATAAAAGAACAAATTTATAGACAAACGAATATTATAATGCATTAAAACTTTTGCTTGTAAACTTCTAGGCACCTTGACAACATAGTCGGGGGGACAGTTGAGGATGTACCATTTGGCTACAGATTCATCACTCTCCAAGTGATGTTGATTAACACATTCTTTTATTGGGACACGAAAGGTCAATTGATGAGTAATGTGGAAATTTCAAGAGGCTTTGAATGTTAGGGGTTAATGTGTCATTTATGATAATTTATTTAGGGATTAAATTATAGTTATAGGAGCTATGGAAGTAGGGGAATATTTTGAATTATAACCCTAAGGGTTGAATTTTGTGGTAAAAATTGTATTTGGGTGTAATATCGTAT